GATCCAGGAGTCAGAGCGTAGGTCAGAACCAGGAAGTCAGAGGCAGCGACGGTGTCAGACGGGGGTGAGGCAGGAGGCTTGGATCCAGGAGTCAGAGCGTAGGTCAGAACCAGGAAGTCAGAGGCAGCGACGGTATCAGACGGGGGCGAGGCAGGAGACGAAAAACCAGAAACCAGGAGCAGGATCGTGACCAGACAGACGAGACTTGGCATGAGATGGCTAGAAGATTTACTTGGTGGAACCGTTCGATAATCAGGCGCTGGATGAGTGGAGGATGGAGCTTAAATACTGAGGGACACAGGTGAGTGAAATGAGAGTGATTGGGATTTCAGTGACGGGAGGGGCTGAGGCAATGAGTGACACAAGGCAGTGAGAGCAGGATAGACGTAATTCATGACACTTAAAGACAATTTGGGCTTGGACCCCGGTCATAACTGCTTTGCATTTCAAGTTTCAACTTGTTTCTGCTACTTATTTTTGCCAATTTTAAATACATTTAGCCTTGGGCATCTGTGGTGTAGTGGTGCTCTAATGTGACAATCATTTAGCTTAGAAATGTCACCTTATCTCTCTCCAATGATGTTTACTGATTTCAAGGTCATTTGGTCAAGACTTAAGGTCAAAGATCACCCATGTCCTATAATAGATGTACATGGTTAACCATTTAACATACACATGTCCAATAGCACAGCTAGACATTATGTGGGGCATTGATGACCCCTATTATTTTCAAGGTCATGAAAGAAAAGATCAAGGTCACAGGTTAGCCATTTTTCTTCTTTTACCTTCTCATGTCCAACTTTCAGCTTCATTCTGATATGTCACTTTTGTTTTGCTTCTTGCAACTGAGTTCTGGTGGTTTCAACTTTTGTTTCTGTGTTAAAACATTTGCTATTTTAACTACATTTCTGCTCTTTTTAGTTATGTTGTATGTTTTACTGACAGACACAGACAAAAGTACGCATTATATAAAACACAATATGTGTTTGGGTTAAAACTTTACACATAAAATCAAGAACCCTGTGGTTCTGAATAAATATAATAATTTAAATGGTTACAAAGATCATACAAACCTTAGCTAGCAGACAAAGCTCTTGGTAATCAGTCTGTAACTTTTTCATGTTTTCACTGATGGTGGGATCAGGAATCACGTTGAGCAGTGCCTCTCCTTTTTCAACCACACATTTTACTGCTGAATCATGAGACTCCACAGTTTGTTGAACTGTCTGCAGACATGAGAAAATAAACCAATGTCAAAATGCTGAGGCCTAAAGGACTTAGCTAACATTCCCTGAAATAGCTCAAATTATGTAGAAGTTTAAACAAAACTAACTAACTAACTAACTAACTAACTATACCTAACTACCTAACTACCTAACTAACAACTAACTACCTATCTATCTATCTATCTATCTATCTATCTATCTATCTATCTATCTATCTATCTATCTATCTATCTATCTATCTATCTATCTATCTATCTA